CTGCGCACGTCGCTGCGCAGGGGCGGCAACCGCAACCAGTCCCGATTGGGGGGCAGCCGCGAGTGGTCGCGGCTGGGGGTGCAACCGGCGGTCCTGCGCAGAGAAACGGTCCTGCGCACGGCGCTGCGCAGGGGCGGCAACCGCAACCAGTCTCGATGGGGGGTCAGCAGCGAGTGGTCACGGCGGAGGGCGCATCCGAAGTTTATGCGCAGGCCGGTGCTCCCGCACACATCGCCGCGCAAGGGCGGCAACCGCAACCAGTCTGGGTGGGGGGGCAGCTGCGAGTGGTCGCGGCGGGGGGCGACGTCCATTTGGGACATGGCGATTCCGCCGGCGTCGCTGCGCAAGGGCCGCATCTTCAAACAGGCCGGGTGGGGTGGCAGCCGCAAGTGAAAGCGGCTCGGGGCGCGACGAGCGTTAATCTCCAAAGCGGCGAGGCCGTCCACGCTGCTGAGAAAGGGGCACATCAGGTGGGAAACGAGTTGTGTGGTAACAACAATCTGATCTCCTTGTCAAAGAACTCTTCTCTCAGAGGTCTTGCGGGAGCTTCAAGCCGAAGACAGCGACTGAGGTCCCTCCATGCGCTCCATAACTTCAATCTCGTCCATTTTAAGCGACCAGTGACAACTGAAAGCGAGCACAATCTGTTTCTAGAGCTTTATTTCAAGCACGCAACTAGGAGCGGCACAAATTATAGAGCCCTTCTGATGGAGTTCAACTCCTCCGCTGCTAGACAAATTTGGAGACTCTCGCAAGAAGGTCATCAACAAGCGATAGAGAGCGATTTGTACTTCAAGGACTACCGAGACATTACGCGCTATGAACGCCAGCTAGTACGCTGCTTGCTCTCACGTGAAGCGGACAACGCAAGCGCAGCTGTGAGCTTCCTAAGCGCAGGAGCAAGTCCAATCAGATTGCCTTCGCCTCCAGCAGGATCCAATCCGCAAGTCGATCCAGGAACTGCAAACGCACAGCCAGAAAGGGTGAACGCACCGTCCTCCTCCGTGTTTCCTGTTCAGGCGCCAAGCAGCGAGCAGGGTCGGTTTGACACCGCTGTTGCAAGGATGGCGCGGTCTTCCGAACAGCGAAGCGCGGCCCAAGCTGCTGCATGGGGTCCAAACGGGGCCATGTTCACTAGTGCGCTCGTCTATCGACCTGAAGCGATGCTGTCTCCTCGAGAGAAGGCTGGCAATCAAGGTGGAAAGGGTGTGGCCAAGATCTGCAGTAAGTGCGATCCCGAAGGAAGACTAGGCATCATGAAGGCGGAGCATGACTGTCCGTTTAGTTTGAAGAACAAAAAGAAGCGAAAGAGAAACTAGTGTCGGCACTCAAATTCGGTTTTCCTCTCTTCAATCAGTTTCGCTCAAGTCTTGGTGGTTTGTACGATACATAGTAACAGAGGGCAAGTCCATAATGAAAGCTCAGCCGACTCAAAGTTGATCCGCAATAAGGGGCCATTCGGCTAGCTAGTTACAGAACATCTAGATTGCTAGACTATGGTATGCTCATTGTTTGGACCGTCGATGTTTCAATCTGGTTTCCCTTCGGACAGATGGACATCGCTCAAGGCGTTGTGCTTTGGTATGCTAATGTCCGCATCGTACATCAGAGAAGCCTTTGTACAACAAAGAATTCTGATTGCATGCCACGAACATCAATGCATGTAGCCGATCGAAGGCTCGTAGCGTTAGAGATTTTAGACACATCATGAAGGATAATTGGGTGAGTACTCTTGTGTTTGCATATCTACACATTTCGAAGCTTCGTGCCACCAAGATACTAAATTGAGTTGTTGCTTGTCATGTCGATATTTCATGTTGCTAGTACGATGTTTGTCTACAAGTGTGATCAATATAATATATGCCATATGAGCACATGCGAATCGTACAATTACAGTCTTACGACGCTAGACCCG